GTTTTGACCTATTTATGAACAAAACTAAAAAATAAATACCTTTTGTCAAAATAATTAAACTGTCACATCCAAAAAATCATGATTAAATTCTCTAGTGTATTTAAATTCCTTTTACAGCCGATAAACAAATGGCGGCCATACAGTGCGCGAAATCTGATTGGCTAATTCAAATGCAAGCGTTTAACTGAGTCAGAACATTCTAACGGAATATTTTTTAACGAAAAAATTGCCCATGCACCGTCAGCGTGTTCGAATATATTTTTCCGTTCAAAAATTTGAAATCAATCTGTAAAGCACCTTGCTTAACCAGTATGACTGATAGACAAAAATAGATTGATGTTTATATTTTATTTTAAATTGATAAGTACATTGTTTGAGAGTTTTTGTGTATGATTGAGCATGAAATTGAAAGAAAAGAAGATAAGCTTTTGAATAAAGCTTGAAAGGCAAGACAATAGACATTTTTAAAAAATTTTATGATGCTATGCGTTTTTGAGCAATGACTATTAGATGTCAGACTTGACCGACATAAACTATACCAAGCCTGTAACGTCTAATATATTGGACTAGATTGTCACCATGACGTGCCTTAGGTGACCACTAATCAATTTATTAGTTTACAAGCAGATATAATTTAAGTCTGTAAAAAAAAAAAAAACACACGCAACATTTGCCACTTTAAAATTTTTAATTGTTTATGTTACCAAAATTTATTGTTGATTTGGAAATTCCATAGTGCTAAAATACACAATATAATTTATAAACACGCGAAAAAAAATAACATCCATAAATAAATGGAATATAATGTTTCCATTGTTAAATAATATGTACAAAATTTACACCAAAGATTACCTCTGACAAGTGACTAGTCGGCTATTCAAAAGAATCTGTCAATCTTTGATGTTTACACACATGTAGTCACTGCTATTTAAACTGAGTCGTCAAAGAAGTGCCAAAACTCAAAATTGACTTCCACCATTTTTTTACAGGTCAGAAAAAAAAAACTGTTGTTAATTGTTTAGTCAGTTATTGACATATTATTAAGAATAATTTTTGCATTTTGATTGTGGATTAAAATTTTCTTGTATAACTTAAGAGTAAGACTTCATTCATGCTGAAGTTTGATTACTTGTGTATTTGACTTTTTTGTAGTCGGTTTTTTTTTGTACATTTTTTTTTATTTGTCGCTGTGACTGATCATAGTATGTCCCCCGTGATTTTCTGCTTGCCGTTAACAGTCCTACGCATAAGCCCAATATTTCCAGTTTTCCCCAAAAATTTGCTATCTCTGGCCAGTGATGAGCATTTAATTATAATTACATGGCTTGTCACAGTATCACTGATAGCAGCACCCTTGAATGTTTTATGATCCTATCATGTTTCAAGAATGTATAGTTTAAGCTGTAGGATATAGAGAACATTTCAGATATAAGGAAAACGAAGATTTTCATAGGTACATTCAATTTTTAATAAGAGTTAAAGACTAAAAAGACTGGATTACATTAAAAAAAGGTTTTTAATCACTTACAACTCACAATCACAGGGACTCAGTTCCGTGTTGGGATAGTGAAGGGTAAAATTAATTTTAGAGAAAAAAAAAATTACAAGTATTTTTTTCTAAAATTGCTTTTTACTCTACCCCAACACTGTGCCGAGTCCCTGTGATCACAATAAAAATACTAATGTAAATTACTTTCATTCAATTTGGTAGAAAAAAGATCTCTGAATGTGAAAAAAAAATTGTAAAAAAGGTAGCAAAATGTAAACAAAGTAGTATTTTGACTTCCATACAAAATACTAAATCACTTTTACTATACCAATTGCAAAAAAGCAGAAAATAGTAAAAAGTTGATGACCTTTAAATTTATAGTAAAGTTATAAGTTCAAAGAGAAAATATCTCTTGAAATAAAGATGCTAGAGTTATGAACCTTGTCATGCATGATGTAAGTAATGACTAAGAACAATTATTTTAAGTCTAGAGTAGATATCATTTCTAATAACAAAGATTATACTTAGAAATATATGAATTTTCACTAAATTCCAAGTTCAAAAATGAAATGGAGATAATTTCCAAAATACAGCTAGAGTTATAAATCTATTCGCACCTAATATAAGTGTTAAGAAACATATTTTGAAGTGCAAAAAATATCAATATACAAAAATAATATATAAACAAGAGCTGTCACAGAACGTGACAAATGCCTCGAAAGATTCTAGTTATAAACCACCTATAACATGTTAAGTGTGGTGGTAAAAATTGACATAGTTCGAACCCCAGCAGTGACCTTTAAGTTAGACAAAAAAACCTGGGTTAGGTTCACAACAAATTGTCCATCTATGGTGACTTAATATTTTTTTTTAAAAAATTGAAACTTTCATGTATGGAAGTTACAGAGCGGACACAATAACCACCATTTATATGTATATAACATAAATATTGAAAAAGTTTAAACCCCAGCATTGACCTTGAACTAAGGCGTAGGAACACGGGTCTAAAGCGCAACACATCATACATTTATGATAATTTCATAAGCGAAATAAAAAATATAATCCTTTTATTCATATTAGTTTTAGAGCAGACACGACCATCTCTGCCTATATGTATATTAACATCAAAATTGACAAAGTTTGAACCCCCACAGTGACCTTGACCTTAGTTGTAGAGACATGAGTCTTGTTCGTGGCACACGATATATCTATGGTTATTGAATATGTGAAAGAAAAATGCATACTGAAGTTTCAGAGCGGACACGACCACCACCTTCTATATTTATATAACATAAAAAATGACAAAGTTTGAACCCCCACAGTGACCTTGACCTTAGTCGTAGGAACCCGAGTCTTGTTCGTGACACACCATACATTTATGGTTGTTTAATATATGAAAGAGAAATTAAAATTCTTTCATGCATACTGAAGTTTTTAGAGCGGACAGGACTACCACCTTCTATATTTATATAACATAAAAAATGACAAAGTTTGAACCCCACAGTGACCTTGACCTTAGTCGTAGGAACCCGAGTCTTGTTCGCGATTCACCATACATTTATGGTTTTTTCATATATGAAAGAAAAATTAATACTTTCATGCATACTGAAGTTTCAGAGCGGACACTACCTCCACTGTCTATATGTATAAAGCCTGACGGACTGACAGACAGACAGACGGATGGTTCAACTTTAATATGCCACCCTTCAGGGCATAAAAACATCTAAGTTCAAAGGGGAAATAATTCTGGAAATATTCATGCTAGAGTTATGAATCTTGTCACACATGTATAATGAACATATATTTTTAAGTTAGAAGTAGATACCTTAAGAAATAAAGAAGTAAGTAAAAAGGTAACATTTTTTTTAGGAAAAAAATGAGTTCATGGGGAGATAATTCTTGAAAATATTGGTGCTAGAGTTAACAACATTGTCACAAATGATGTAGTTGATGGTAAGGAACACATATTCGAAGTGTAAGTCAAATAGAAAGAGAAAAAAATAACATTATTTTATGGAAAATTATATGTTCAAGGGGATATAGTTCTGGAAATACTGGTTTTTGAGTTTAACACCTTATCACATGATGTGTATGATCATAAGGAATACATGTGTACATAATAATATTATAAGGAAAATATTAATGACCCTTCGGGACGGGGCTAATTTTTACCCCAGGGATTTGATCTGAACAAACTTGATAGACACTCAGTATAAGATGTTTCATGCCAAATATCTAAGCTCTAGCTCTTTGGATTTTTTAAAAGAACATTTTATAAGGTTTTTTTTTCGGTTGCTATGGCAACCAAAGTTCTGCATGGAATTTTATTCTTTGAACATGGTAGAGCCTTATGCAAGGAACACTACTGCAAAGTTTCAACAAATTTGGCTACGTGGTTTAGGAGAAGAAGTTGTTTAAAGAAATTTTTGACGCACGGACATAATCCTCAGATGAGCTAATAAAAAAGTTAGAGATAAAATGTTTACTGCATATAAGCATTAATTTAAAGTATGTACGCTGGCTCCGGCTTACAAGCCATGATGAGTAGGACAGCTCTCCATATATTTGATATAGTTGAGCTAATAATACAAATATCACTTACCTGGTCACTTAGTTAAGAGTCTTGCACTAAAATTGCAGTAAATACAATGTTTTTGTTTTCTTTTTGTTTTTTAGCGGTTTTTTATTGGGGTGGGGGTGGGTAGGCAGTTCACTCAGTAATTACATGAGTAACACTGAACAGTGACACTTTACTATGGAAGGTTATTAATTACGAAGATGATTATCACTTATAAAGGTATATCCTAACATATAATTCATTTAGTAGCTAAAATTTATCTTGTGATATTAAGTATAATATTTACAAATAATTCAAATTATTGCTAAAAGTTTCACATTTCACTTGGGCCGCAGACCCAGAGAAAAAAACATCATAAAAGTTAGAGTATGTTCAGAAATTTGATCCTTCAACGTTAGGGCCATTAGATAAGAATACAGAGGGCCAATTAATAATGACAAGACTCTCAACTCAGTTGACGTGTTAATGGGAGATATACAGTTAATAGTGATTTACTAGCTGATAAGCCCTTACTGAGATTCAGCAAGCTGGGAGGGTTTATGCGTAGGACTGTTAAAAGTGTTTGCAGTGACAAAACGGAAAGGGCAAAATTTGCTTGAGCTATACTGAAGATAGATTAACTAAAATTTTATTTGTTTATTGTTGGTTTTGAATTTTATGTCTGAGTTTCATCTGTAAAATTATAAATGTCATTGTCAACATGTCACCTTTTCGTTCATCTCTTCCCCATAACTTGTCACCTAACTAAACACCTATTCCAACTAATTGTACTACGCATTGAGATATTGTGCTATTTTGTGTTTGGGCAATATCTCTCCCTTAGAAGCAAGATTCTGACCATGAACGAACATCTTTCACAATCTAGTTTTGGCAGGTCAATATATTTTATCATTTCATCATATTGTTCATCATTTGTGTTTATTGTGGCATTTACTTAGTTTTGTTCATTGTTTTATTTAATTTGGTCATTTCGTGTTCATTTGAAAGTTACTGACTTTGAAGTAACCAACATGTTTTTTTATTGATTAGGTTCAAGCTACCCATGGTGCTGATAAGAGGGTATCTCTGAATGCTGAAATGTTTGTAACGATTCATTGTTAATTGCACTAGATAGAATGTGTAACATTACTTCAGGTTACACCTTCTTGTGTAGGCTTTTGACATTGGATGAACATCTACTTTTGTTTTCCAGGCCTGTACCAGGTATTCATTTGGAAGTGGAAGATATGGACAAAAATATACTAGTAGGAACTGTTCAATATTTTAACTGTTTTCCTTTTTTATATACACCAGAATTCAACAAAGAGCAGTAAAATTTAATGTATTATTAAGCTTTAAAAGATGGAAAATGACACAAGTGAAATGTTCAACACAGAAGCTCTTAGCTTTGACAGTACATTGGACAGTTTGATGGATGTAGATTACATACCAGATGAAAAAGCCTTGCCATTTAGTCCACCCACATTTAGTGCCCCATCTGAGGTCCTTATGTCCGCCCAGAATAATTTGAGGGCAGACTTAGGTCACATTGATGGAGGTGCTGCAGAGACTTCTGATGGAAGGACAAGTTTGGAGCTTGTATTGGGAAAAGATGATAGTGAAACTATGACTGTTGCCAAGGATGAGGTTAATGAGTGCATTGATACTGAGATGAATGTTGATGATGATTTAAATCATAAAGTTACTCAAAATAAAGATTCTGCTAAAAAAGAGGATGAAACCATTCAAATAAATATTGAGATTAAAGAGAGAATAGAAGATGAATCAAATTTAAGGGAACCTAGTCCAAACTTTAATGAAATTAAAGCAAAGCGTAAGAAAAATCTCGAAAGAAAAATTCCCAAACCTAACAATGATGATTCATGTAGAAAAGATTCAGATGTAGAAAATAAAGTTAGAAAATGCCCCTTAAAGTTTATAAACACTAATACTCAATCAGATTTGATGGAGAAAGAAAATGAAGAAACAGTGAAAGAACCACCTCATAAAAAAATAAGAATATCATCCGAAGAACCAAACAATTGTGAGAAATTTGAAGACATTCAGATTGATCAATGTAAAAATGCTTCTGATAAAGATGGAAAAGTCATTACGTTTGTAGATGAACATAAAAGTGGCTCAATGGAAACCACAAAGGTCGAAAGTACACACAAGGAAGTAAGTATGTCAGATAAGGAGACAGTTGAATCAAAAACAGAAGTAATGGCTTTAAATAATGTTTCTGAAGCTGAGAGAAAGGTTTGCACTGGTGAAGGTTCAGATAAACTCATAGAAATTAATATGGAAAAGGCTGATTCACCTATAGAAACAGGAGATATTCAAAAAAGAATAGAGCAACCCAATGAACAAATTACAGATGGGGTTCAGGAAAAGGAGTCTGAAAATAAAATTGCTGAAGGAACACCAGTCAATTATGCAACAGAATCAGAGAATGAAATAGAGGACTTTGATAATGAATCAAATGTTTTAGACTTTGAAGAAGACAACTGTAAGGAAAGCAATGATGAAGATGAAAATGATGAGGATGAGAACATTGATGATGATGATGATGAGGTGGAAAAAGTTGAAGACCCTGGTGAGGATGATTATGATGACTTTGATGAGGAAGATGAAGATGATGTAGACGATGATGAAATTCATAACTGGCTGGAAGAAGGTCTTACAAAGGAAGAAATAAAAGCAAAGAAAAAAGCAGATTTGAAAGATGGAGAGTTTATTGCCAATGAGAAGTTCATCTTGGAAGGTACTTTTTTTGCTGTTGTTTAAAAGGGCTTTCAGCTTTAATTTTTGTTTGAAAAGTAATTCTGTGTTGATTCAAACTAAGTATTTCAGTAATTTTATCTTTGAAAAATGCATCTTATCACTGCTAAGCAATCTTCAAAACAGCTATTTATAGCTTACCAGTGACATTAGTTTCTAAAAATAGAAGATTGGATTCCAAATCGTCCGCTTTACATGTGGAGAACAAACCAGAAAATTAGAGATATTAAGGGGTTTCCTTAAATGTATTTTATCTATGGCAATTTTCATTTTCAACATTAATTTATTTTGATTTGACAATCTATCTAAAAAATAACATATTTAACCTATAGGAAGCTGAAGGCCGCTTTAATGTGAATAGATAATGATTTATTATAAGTTTATTGAGAAGGTGTTGGACAGTGGATTTTTTATATCTTTTGTGTGGTTTGATATTCATTTATCATTGTTTAATCCTGAATCGTATCAGACATTGAGTTTCAGTAACCTTTGACAGGAATCTTTTTAACTTCAGTTTTTTTTCTTTCTTATATTTAAAGCAATGAAATTTTATGTCTTTATGGTAATATAAATAAAGGCACAAGTACAGACACAAAACTGAATACACTATTACATTAATGTTTAAAGTGCAATGCAGTGTACTTAAACATAAATACATTATAATTATCAAATGTTAAGGCAATTATTTATGGTAATTAGCTTGAAAACATCATGTATTTCTACAGTTTCTAGTTTTGTATATTTTATTCATGAAATATAATGTAGAAAAGGGTATTAACCCATTCGAGGTGCTCCCTGCTGGATGGATAGTGATTTCTCACAACTGTGGAATGCCAGTCTATCTTCACAAGGAATCCAGAGTTTGTACATTTGCCCGTCCATACAATATAGGTGCAGGTAGTTCAAGGGTAAGAAAATAAAGTTTTGTTTCTCAGTATAATATACACTTCACCTGCTGAATCTGAGTAATGTATTAGACCTGATTTTAATTTAGAGCAGTCCATTTGGAGTTTAAGGGATTTTGATATCAAAATACAATAATTAAGGTACCAGTAGTTTACAGTCGGTCAGACTCCACTATGTGCAAGCTAGTCTAGCCAAGGTTAGCCAAAATCATCTTTCCAGTTTCGGAGAATATCACTTAAATAGCCAGAACCAACCAAAACACTATCTATAGTTTGTAACATGATTAATGGATGCTTACATGTTGTAAACCAGCTTTTGTTTAAGACAAGGAAAACAAATGACAAGTGGCAGTTGTGCATGATTAATGTTGATTCATGAAGCCACAAGAAAAGTCTATTTTAGTTCAAATATTTCTAAAAAAACAACATTTCATTAACTTTTTTCAGGGCCATGAAATTCCTTTAAGTGCAATTCCATGCTTGCAATATCGCCGTCAACTAGAAAAGGAGAAAATAGAAGAGAAAGAGGCAGCAGAAAAGATGACCAATGGTGTAAATAAAGATGAAGGTGGAGAAACTTCTGGTCAGAGCATTATTGTTTATGTTGTTTTAAAACTTGTTTTTTTATGTTTTCTTATATCATTCAGGCTATTTAGTAATTTATCCCTTTTTGCCTTCTTACACAATCATGACAATCATAGTTAATTTCATACTTATATAGTTCTTGTGATTTGATCTTGTAATATGATTGTGTTTTATATATGAAAAGATTATTATGCATTGTAGGGTGCAAGACTGAATTCTATTTCACCACTATACAACTGTTTAACCTATAGATATAAGACAAGGCCCTAGCCTAGTCTAGCCATGTGCAAGCCCATTGGAATCAGTTTTGAACTCAAATTAATATGTAATATGTTATATGTATTACACACAACCAAATTTTTGATATTTTGACAGAACTTTTTTACTTTGAGTTCATTAAGGATTGGTTATGACTTTGTTTTAATCTGAAAAGGAAAGGAAAGAAATTGAAACAATACTAATAAAAAAAGATAAATATTTGTTATTACTTGCAGAGAAAGAAATAATGCCGAAGCCTGTAATCAAGAGGGCAGATGATGCTGATAAGATTATCACCCTAGGTAATATATATATTACATATTTTATTCACTATTTTTCTTTCAATTAAAAGCACTGTAAAAAATGAACTAAATGATTTGTATTTTTTGTTGCTGTCTGTTTGGAATTTTTGGTGGGGTTTTATATCATACCAACACAGAAGAGGTCATATGGCAACTTGTGAGCTTTACTGGTGGAGGAAGACCTTGGGTGCCCACACCATGCATTATTTCTGGCACAAACGGGCATCCTGAGTAGTACCACAGACATTTCGTAAGCTAGCTGGAACACTTCCTACCATGAAAGAATCCAAAGTCCCTTGCGGGATTTGAATCTTCGTCCAAGAGAGACAAGTGGTTCAAAGTCAATGACCATAATCACTCAGCCACAGATGCCCCTGATTCTTGTTTAAAAACTTGTTATTGAAATAAAAGAATCTCATTTTAAATACTTGTGTATTATATAAGAGCAAGATTTTAGAACTGTTTTGTAAATTTATTTTTATTTATTTTTACTCATACAAAAAGGGAGTGTTAAAGTTTAGATTTATAAATTAATGTTGTTAAATGTTTCATTTTGTCCTTTATTACAGCTCCAAAAGAGTTAAACAAATATTGTAACGGGTTGTTCAACTTCCGAACAGTTACTGTAAAAAAATTCAAGTAAGTTAATTCTGAATGTTCTTATTTTTGTTTATTATAATAATGGTAAAATAAGTATCTTATGCATAAGCTCTAATCAATGTGGCAGTGATTGTAAGGTAAATTTTAAAAATTCTGTTTCAAGGGCACCCATAATTTTCTGCCACCAATAAAGCCAGAAAGTCACATTATGACCTTTGCATCTTTGTTTTAACTTAAATTGCATTAAAAAAGAATTATGAAATGTTCCTCCAGACTGTTATAATCTATTATATTTTAATTGTATTCAGGACTTGGCGAGAGAAAAGAGCACATTTGGTTGAAGAGAGAAAGAAAAAAATAGCTAACATGCCAACTCTGGTAAAACTATTTCTTACTTTTGTTATAATTTAGTTGTTTTTTCCACCTTCATTTTTCTACCTGTTTATATTTGTTTTATATGCTTATATTTTTTACAGTTACATATGCAAATAGTGGTAGATAGCCATAACAGTTTGTCCATAGAGCTTACCATTACTAGTCCAAAACCCTTAAAATATAAAATTTGAAATTCTACACAGATCAACTGGAGCACTTTAAAATGGAAAAATATGCAAAAGTTAAGAAAGAAATACAGTAGAACTTCTATGAGTCGAACTTCGATTAGTCGATTTTCTTGATGTGTCGAAGTAAAATGAAAATCTTGATTTTTCCCCTATATATTCCTTATAAAAATCTATTATGAGTCGAAATTTTATGTGTCAAATTTTTCGATGTGTAGAAGTTTTTTATGGTCCATATAGAATAAATTGAGTACAATTTACCACAAATAAGTCGAAGTCCTTTGATTTTTTTTACTTCTTCAATCTTGAGAAATTGTTCTAACCTTATCTTGCCGCAAAGACGATTTCCAATCAACTTTGATGACAGGTGTTAATTACACAGCCGTGTTGTCATACAGCCTTTGTATTGATTTCGTTTAAATGTGTGATAAAATGCCTTAATTGCTACCATTCAAATTGACATTGTGGTTATTGAAAGTAAATAGTAAGAACTACACTTGAGAACTTCCGTGACCCGGTGTCGCATGATAATCACACGCCAAATATTTACCAAAAGCTGGTTAAGTTATCGCCCTTTCCTATTGTTACGCCTTTTGTAACTTCCTTGTATACGTCAACGCGTCAAAATTTTGTTATGAAATAGAGACCGATTCATGAGTCGAGGTCCTGATGTCTCGAATTTTTTACGCAAGTCCCTTCAAGTTCGACTAACCAAAGTTCTACTGTATAATCTAAATTTAATTGAAATCAATTTTTAGTGCAATTATTAGTCTGATTAGAATTTAAAGAGTTTTAATACTTCTCATTTTTTGTGTCAAAATTTACAATAAAAATGATTATTCTGGAAAATAAATAAATAAATCGAAGTATGCAAATGATCAGAAATTTTGCACACAAGGTATTGTTTAAGAAATGAAAAAAAAAAACACCTTCCCCATTGTCACTTTTGTCATATAGACTTGCATAGGAAACAAACAGTGAACTTTAAATAATCTTCAGTGATGAGAGCTTATATATGTTTGACTTTGGAAAATTTGACTTTGAACTTTGGGAAATATGACTTTGAATTATCCTGAATATCACCAAGTAAACTGCTTCTGAAACCAAGTCTATGGATGGATTTCGTCATATAAGTTATGGAGAGTCTTCATGATTGTCCATTTATGGGGAACAGGAAATAAGTTATTTGGGAATGGAAGTTGAAGAAGAGAAAATAACCTTTGTTTTTTGCTTAAGTTAAGTCAATGAATAATGTACATTAGTCCAGGTGTATAAATATACTGTAACAGGTGTTTAAATGTCATTTTAAATTTTCACAGGCACCTGACACAAAGCTGATTACCTGTCCCATTCCACCAGAATTCCTCACCAAAAAATCCAGGAAGAAAGGTATGGTTGCTGTTTTGGGAAGTAGAGAAAATAATGATTGCCTCTGAAGAAAGTTGCTAGCATTGCTTTATAAAAGAATTATGTGAAAATATATATTAATAATTTGGGAGAACAGAAAATAGTTTGTTTTGTTCAAGAAACTCTACTTGGGTAAAAAAAACCTAGAAACATAAATTTGAAAGAAAAAAAAGTCGCTTCAGGTAATTTTATGTTGTTTTGCACTGATGAAGGCATATAGCCGAAACGTATGCAATAAATAATTACTGAATGTTCTTGTATGTGTGGCTTGTCTGTTTATTTTACATAAATTAATAGAAGCTTTTGAAATGGAAAAATCTATAAACTTAAGGGTAATAAAGAAACTTGCTTAGAATCTGAATTAATTTGAAAATCGATTTTATTCTGTGCAAATTTTAGCCTAATTTCAAGTTTTGGGTCATTTTGAGCAATAAAAATATTGATTCTGAAAAAATGGGGCAAGGGAATTGGCATTTCATTTTTTAGGGTGATTTTGCACAATAAAAGTGATGAATCTGGAACATGGAGTTTGCAGAAAGATCTGAAAACTTACATAATAGTTATTCACCAGACCTACATCAAATGGTACACAGTTGTAGCAAGTGCTGTGTCAAGGAACAAGAACTCTACATTGTTTAGATTTTTAATTATCTCCCTTAGTAATACTTCATAATGCTTGTCCAGAGAATAACTTAAAAAGAAGTAAAGGAATTTAATTAAAACTTCACACATTGATAGATACCATTGAAAGGAAGTGCAGTGTCAAAGAACCGTTATTCTGCCTTGCTTAATTTATTAGTCCCCTACCGGTTTAACCGGAGGGGACTTTAGGTTTACCCTCCGTCCGTCTGTCTGTCTGTCCGTCAGTCTGTCAGTCCGTCAGTCCGTCCGTCCTCAAAACTGGATCCCGCGATAACGCAAAAAGTACTGAAAATATTTTTATGAAACTTGATATATGGATAGATGGCAGTATGGAGATTATGCACGTCTTTTTTTTTTCTTCCTATGTTGAAAATTCTGGTTTCTGTCAGTCCGTCAGTCCGTCCGTCCTCAAAACTGGATCCCGCGATAACGCAAAAAGTACTGAAAATATTTTTATGAAACTTGATATATGGATAGATGGCAGTATGGAGATTATGCACGTCTTTTTTTTTTCTTCCTATGTTGAAAATTCTGGTTGCTATGGCAACAAATAGTCTGAAAATATGGCAAATTTAACACATAAACTGGATCCAGTGATAACTCAAAAAGTACTGAAAATATTTTTATGAAACTTGAAATATTGGTAGATGGCAGTCTGGAGATTATGCACATCTTTTTCTTTTCTTCCTATGTTGAAAATTCTGGTTGCTATGGCAACAAATAGCCTGAATTTCAAGATTTCTGATTTAAATTTTTCAGCTTTTTCACTATATGTTCTTTATTTCTTAAGGTGTTTACTTCAAACTTTAAATATAAGTTTCTGGTCATCAACCACATCATATGTGACAAGGTTTATAACTCTAGCACAAAAAATATCAGTATTACCTCCCTTGAACTTAGATTTTTTAGGGGAAAAAATGTTGTCTTTTTTAAATTACTTCTTTATTTCCTAATGTATCTACTTCAAACTTCATATATATGTTTCTTATTATCACTCGACATTTTTGAGAAGGTTAAATACTCTAGCAAGACTATTTCCAGAATTATGTCCCCCTTGAACTTAGATTTTTTTCGAGAAACTGGTATTTTCACTACAACTTCTTCATTCCTTTAAAATCCCACATCGTAATAATATGACAAGGTTGTATAAACATAATTTCCTTACTAAGTATGGAAACTTAACACGTTACTGTGATATAGACAAACTTATTTTATTATGTTTTGTGGTCGATATTTTCAAATACAGACTTCATCCTCAAATTCATTATAAATGACAATACACAGGAGTGTATGACAATTAAAGAACTTTTTGAGGGACCGGTAGGGGACTACTGTATTGCCCGCAATACTATCAAATGCTTGTTTTTTAATTATCTCCCTTTATGATACTTAAAAATGTTAAATAATGCTTTTTCTGGAGTATAACTTCTAAATTATCAATGAAATTGCATTGAAACTTCACACATTAACTAGATATTAGATAAACATGAACATCACATTATGTATTTTCTTTTTCAGAATTTGTTTTGAATCCGGAAGGTAAAACTGCTGTGAGTATCCTACATGAATACACTCAAAATGTGCTGCGAGTCCAACCTACATATGAATTCAAAGAAATGTGTAAGTGATTAATTAAACTTTTAGAATGGTTTAGTGTTGTTAAGAAAATATTTTAAATAAATCACTTATCAGACCTATTTTGATAAATATACTATATAGTGAAGTTTTCTGGTAGAGATGAACAGACATACAAAAAACGGATAATGGACCTGAAAAAGAAAGGTCATTGATGCCAATCTAAAAAGACTCATTATTATTCCTAGATCTCTTAGGAGCTGTATATTGGTTTGTGGAAGATTGACGTAATCCCTAGTTAAGGCACTAAAAATCTGGTGATTTTGGAAACATTTTCGGAATGTTTGAGTTTTTATAGGATATGAATTCTTAAAATTGAGTTAACTTTTCAGAATGGCTGGTATATACTCAACATCACTAATTCCGCGTCATCACTTACCTCGCGGTAATGGCATATTTTCATGTGGCCAGTGTTAAAATTGGTCAGAATTGACATATTTTATTCAAACACCTTAACAACAAAGTTTTTGTGCAAAATAATTTAAATCTATAGATTTTTACGTAAAACTGAGCAACATTTTACAAACTTCTGCAAAAAACAACAATAGTCCATTAAATTTGTGCATACGTCTGAAACAATCATCATTTTCTAAATGGGGCGTCCGTGGCCGAGTGGTTAAGGTCGTTGACTTCAAACCACTTGCCCCTCACCGCTGTGGGTTCGAATCCCGACAGGGACTTTGGATTCTTTCATGTGAGGAAGCTATCCAGCTAGCTTACGGAACGTCGGTGGTTCTACTCAGGTGCCCGTTCGTGCCTGAAATAATGCACGGAAGGGCACCTGAGGTCTTCCTCCACCAGTAAAGCTGGAACGTCGCGATATGACCTATACTGTGTCGATGTGACGTAAAACCCAAAACAAAAAAAACAAAAAATTTTCTAAATGTTCTTGTTTGTTAAAAAAATAAATTTTGAGTTACAATGTAAAGATTATTTTAATATTTAAAATTATGCAAAATAACATAAAGAAATTATAACTGAAACATGAAAAAACTGAAATAAAACACCATTACTGCGAGTTAAATGATGACATACTATTTTCAAAATGGCCGACACACGGTTTACATCTGACAAATTAAAACTAACTTTGATTGAACATCTTGTTGTTTCCTTGTGTCATATAGCAGAAAAATGACTAAATGATACAGTTTATAACAGTTTTTGTTGTGTAAGTTTATTGTTTGTGTTCTTTTCTGTTTTAAAGTGTTAAGTACCGTGACCTAAGAGGAGCACAGTATAGTACTATTAAGCCTAGTCATCAGTTTAAAGTCTGGCCATCATGTGCGTCTGAAAAATATAACCAGAATCTGCACTGTTCTTTTTCTCAATTTTAGTATTTTGATGCTAACTTCCTGTAAACTACTTATGGACAGTTCTAAATTCAAAGCAGGACAAGCCCATTGTTTCAATCAATGAAGTTAAAAGTTAAGTATTATCTTTCTAAAGGACATAAGATCACATTTTGAATGTATTTTTATTTTCTAAACATATTTTTTTTTTAATTACAGCCAATGCAGATCTACCTTTCAAGGCAATTGTGTGTTTAAATGGTATGCAATATGGGAGTGGAGTTGCTACAGGGAAAAGACAGGCCAAAAATGAAGGAGGTAGGGCATTCACTTTGTATGTTAGTTCATGGTTAGGTTCTTTATTAATAATATACCCAAGTACAGAGGTCTTACCAGTTTAATCAAATAAAGCAAACTAGACAAGTATCTTCATTACCTAACTGGGGTTAGGTATAAAAAATAGTAATTGGCAGGTCAATTTATTGTTATTACCATACTACAAGATAAATTGTCAAAACTAAGTGATCATAGAAAGATATTTTAGGGTTTTAGCACACCTGAGCAAATTGTATATGTTTGTTATACGTCTTTCATCCACATTTCTACAAAAGGCTTAGAACAAACATGTTTGGTGTTTGACATTGTTAAGTAAGCTTTTATTTAGTGTTTGCTCAAATGCTGTGTATTTCATGTGAGCGATTCAGGGTTATTTTTATTGTGTTTTTAAGTAACAATAATGTGCATTTATCACTAACATGTCGACAAAATGAGCATTTTTCTTTTAACCATGAGAATTAATACCATAAAAGTTTATCTTAGCAACACAGTATAATTAGAATTTAATTTTCAACATTATGATCATGTAGTGTCATCAAATTTTCAGCTAAAGCCACTTTAGAGATTCTAGTACCAGAGTTGGCAGAGCTTTGGAGTGAGAAAAATCCTGTTAGTAAACAAAAAAATGAACTTAGTTCAGATATAAAGGTAGGTTCGATTGTAAACTTCTTTATGGTAACTTCTGTATTTTAGATTTCAAATTTAACACATCTTGAACTGAATTTTAATTATTTTACTTCAAAAGACGTTTTTAGGTCCCAACATTAAAAATTGCAGACTTATTTTCAAGAATAGTTACGGTGCAACACATTTCTGTGTAATCTTTGCCTAAGTGGTATTTGACACAGAGCTATGTAAGGGCTTTCTTGGCTGCGTGGTTAAAATCTAATTTCCAACCACTTGTTAGCTCACCAGAGTCGAACGCTCAGGGTGAGCTATTAGTATCAAAGGGGGATACTCCGTCGTCCGTCGTCATGCGTCAACAATCATCTTCTTCTCTGAAACCACTGGACAGATTTACTTCAAATTTGGTCTGTAGCAAAAATAGAAAAACCTTTAAACATCTTCTACTACAGAACTAATTGATGGATGATCACCAAACTTTGTCTGTAGCATTCTTGGGTAGTCTTTTATCAAGTTTGCTCATATTAATTTGATTGGCCCCTTTAAGGGACTGCTAAAGCTAAAAATAGAAATTACTTTAAACATCTATATCTAGAGAACTAATTGATGGATGATCACCAAACTTTGTCTGTAGCATTCTTGGGTAGTTGTTTTGTCAAATTTGCTCAAATTAATTTGATTGGCCCCTTTTAGGGGTCTCTAGACTTAAAAATAGAAAATCCTTTATACAGCTTTTTCTACAGAACCAATTGATGGATGATCACCAAACTTTGTCTGTAGCATTCTTAGATAGCCTTTTATCAAATTTGCGCATATATATTTTATAGGCCCCTTTTAGGGGTCAAGGGAGCTATAAATAATATAAACCTTTATACAGCTTTTTCTACAGAACTTATTGATAGATGATCACCAAACTATGTTATTAGCATTCTTATAGTAATCTTTTATAAAAATTGCTCATATTTATTTGATTGGCCCCTTTTAGGGACTGCTATAGCTAAGATACCCTAGACCATGGCATTTCTTCAAATTATAGCTTAATGAAAGGGAAACAACTCATGTTGGAATTTCTTTCATACATTTGAATGACCTGCTGTTTGCTGATGAAATTATTTGAGGTCATGACCTCTTATGAAATAACTTGGATATATATGGACTTAGTATCAAGCTTTATTTGGTTTCATTCATATTCACTTAATTACATCACTTCATGCAGTGTTTTCTAAAGAAAGCTTATTCTACGTTTTTGACGCAGTACTTTTGCATTTGACGCGGTAATATCATAGCCGTGCGTTTTCTGTGACGCATATTTTTGCGAGCATCGTTGTATATATTTTTTTTCTATAAATAGCATGAATTTCATCAGCTGATCGGTCACATGATTTATCTTAGACGCTTTAGTGAATATTACACGTTAAAAGCGCTCAGACGCTTCAGATTCTGACGTCATTATCCGGGTAAATTCACAATAAAAAAAGCAGTGAAGATCATCTTCATTCTTCAATAAAGACAATGTTAACATTTATGGGCCGACAGAATCTACTGTAATCAACTCTGCGCTTATACCAAATGAGGTTTCCCAACCAAATCAATCGGCGAATGCTGAAACAACTGAGAAATCCAAGCAAAATTATAAATTATGCTCCGAAGCGAGTTTTTCTGAAAGCAATTTTTGGTTGCGGTATGATGGTAATAAAATGACATGCACAGTTTGTATAACTGAAAATAAAGCCAATCCATTCACATCGGGATGCACAAACTTTAGAGTTTTGTAGTACCGTATGGTACTGGTTACGGGAGTTGACGGAAGTTCGGAACTAGTGTGTTAGGCTTGACAGTTGGGCGCCATGTTAGTGTAATTTATAACTAGAAGAAGTAGGCAATTCCTGGCTTGGCTACGATCCAGACGTGGAAGGTAACTCGATTGTTTGTATTGTCTACCAAAGCTCTGTAATTTTACCGATTGGGCACGAATTTGCCCTCAAATAAAAAGTTTGTTGTTCCATACTGTAAAAACCTTACATATTTTGCATGTGACATTTTGTGTATTCATTCACAAAAGTTATAAAGAAAAAATGTTCCATCAAAATTAACCCTGATGTAGTGGTCACTTATCAGGTCTAGGATTTCATGACATTTATGGACTGTCCGTAAATTTATGGATAGTCTAGAAGTTTAAAGATTTTTCAATCCATAAATTTACAAATCTATATTCAATGTGAAATTTGCTGTTTTTAGTTTTACACTAAAATCCGCAGCTTTTGACTAGTTATTTTATTGATTGTTTTATATTTACAAACGTAATGTGGTGAGTTTCATCTATGTATGATGATTTTGAAATATCTAATAAAAGTGAAAATTGAAAGTCATCATATTGTTTTGAATCTTACCATACTGTTACATTTAATCATATAGTATGTAACCTTATTAATTTTAACCTGTGGTTTTGAATTTTAATGCAACTTCTACTATTTTCTTACTTAATGTCTGTAAATTTACAGATACAAAATCTGTAAAGTTATGGCTCGTCCATAAATTTACGGACTGTCCGTAAATATCATAAAATCCTATACCTGTTTATTCTGCATTATTTTATTCTACATAATCTCATGGGAACACACTTGCAACATAGATATTTTTAATAAAGCCTCCAAAATATAAGAGCAAAGTATTTCAGTAATAAGAAGGGCAAGTAAAAGTTGAGCTGGACTGGTCTTTCATCAAGTTCTTTGAAAAATAACACTGAAAAACAGTTGCTTCTGGTGAGCGACTCAGGGCCATCATGGCCCTCTTGTCTTATATTTACCACTGTGTGTATAAATCTGCCAAGGAATTTAGATTGTGTCATGTTCAGAAGCCATCTGTACAGTAGTCTGCTGTCTGTGGTTATTTGGTCTTCCTTCACTTTGGTATTCCTTTAACTTGAAAGTCAATGCATGACCTTAACAGTGTTGATGTGACTTAGACCCCACCTAGTATGTGGATTTGAATCTTTAATCTTGGAAACAAAATATCTATAGTTTATAGCAGTCCTGTTACAGTTCTTTATGTATCAGATATTTTATGTGAACTGTCATTGTGCGAAAAACTGCAAACAGATTTAACTTATTTTTGGCTTGATACATTATTAATGAAATCTTATTGTGTATTTTAGTTTTTTGAGCAAGTTGCCATAGAAGACCCTCGTGTTCCAGAATTGTGTGTAAAATCCTCACTTCCTCAACCCTACCAGGTGCTCCACACATGTCTTCAAAGGTATGCCTTGCTGTTTCTTGTTTGATTTCAGTTTTATAATCTCTGTTCATTAGAATGGGCAAATAACTCAAAAGAAATTGTGGCAATAAATTACCAGGTGATACCTATGTTTTTCTGTGATTAAATGAACATGACTAAAACTGTCTGTTTCTAATGATTTATATATCAGTTTTGTTTGCAATTGCCTGTTTATGAAAACTAGTCAGTACTTAATGTGACATTATGCTCATACTTTCGTTGTCAAGTTGAGCTGAATTTACTATATACATGTATTTCAAAAGATTAACTGTTACAATGGTGATTTACTAACAATTGATATTGGAAAATGTTTAGGATGAAATATAAATCTGCCTAAAACATAAAAAGACTGCCCTACTCTTTTTATAGATTGAACATTACAGGTAAATTCTGATGAATATTCATGGAAATTTCCTTGGGCCTTGTGAGCTATTTATCATTCATGCGAAGTAAATTATAAAATTGAAACTTCTCTTATCTTAAATTTTTAGGTCCCTTACCAGTGCCAATATTTAGGGAATATGATATGAGAGTTAAAAAATAAACACTGATTTTATACACAGATATGTAACCTGTCTAAAGTGTTTAATTAAAACAATTTCAATAAACTGAACAATTGCAGCCTTTGATAAAAAAAGAAGAAAAATACTTCATTAATTTGCAGCTATGGATAAAATATAATCATCCTAATCATCCAATGAAAAAACATTACAATCATGCAGTATAATATAAAATAAATACCACTTTATCTTGTAGAAACTACGGGCTGGGTGATACAACATTTAAAGTAGAGAAGAAGATGATAACTAATCAAAAAACAGAATTTACGCTATCTGTAGGGAAACGGACCTGCACTGTAAGTACATGTATACAAATATGATACACTTGGTGAAAAAAAAGATTCATAAGTGTACTTTGTTTTATTATGCCCTCATTAGGAGGGGTGAGGGGGGATTTACATTTGCCCATGTATGTCCCACTGTCATGCTGTAAGTTCTGTATACTGAAAAAAATACCCAAGAGGAATGTGGGGGCATTGTGACACATTGCTAGTTATATAATAATATGACGTGTTGTATTTATCCATTTTCCTCTTATTTTAGTTATATAATACTTTACAAAGTCAGTAGATGTTATTGGTAATAGTGTATATATATTTATACCCCCAAAAACGAAGTTTGGGGGGGTATATAGGAGTCACCCGGTGGTCGGTCGGTCGGTCCAGACGTCCGTTGCATTTTCCTTGTCCGGAGCATAACTTGAAAACTTATGGTTGGAATTCAATATAACTACATACAATGGTCAAGCACATTGAGAGGAAGTGCAGTGCACAAGAAACCATAACTCTATCTTGACTAATTACAGAGTTATTGCCCTTTGTTACTTTTCCTTGTCCGGGGCATAACTTGAAAACTACTGGTTGGAATTCAAAACAACTTCAATACAATTGTCAAACACAATAAGGGGAAGTGCAGTGCACAAGAACCATAACTCTATCTAAAAGTAATTACAGAGTTATTGCCCTTTGTTGCTTTTCCATTGCTTTTTTTTTGTCCGTTGCATTTTCCTTGTCCGGAGCATAACTTGAAGACTAATGGTTGGAATTAAATATAACTACATACAATGGTCAAGCACATTGAGAGGAAGTGCAGTGCGTAAGAAACATAACTCTATCTTGACTATTACAGAGTTATTGCCCTTTGTTACTTTTCCTTGTCCGTGGCATAACTTGAAAACTACTGGTTGGAATTCAAAACAACTTCATACAATTGTCAAACACAATAAGGGGAAGTGCAGTGCACAAGAACCATAACTCTATCTAAAGTAATTACAGAGTTATTGCCCTTTGTTGCTTTTCAATTGCCTTCTTTTTTTTGTCCGTTGCATTTTCCTTGTCCGGAGCATTACTTGAAGACTAATGGTTGGAATTCAATATAACTACATACAATGGTCAAGCACATTGAGAGGAAGTGCAGTGCATAAGAAACATAACTCTATCTTGACTAATTACAGAGTTATTGCCCTTTGTTACTTTTCCTTGTCCGTGGCATAACTTGAAAACTACTGGTTGGAATTCAAAACAACTTCATACAATTGTCAAACACAATAAGGGGAAGTGCAGTGCACTAAGAACCATAACTCTATCTAAAGTAATTACAGAGTTATTGCCCTTTGTTGCTTTTCAATTGCCTTCTTTTTTTGTCCGGAGCATAACTTGAAGACTAATGGTTGGAATTTAATATAACTACATACAATGGTCAAGCACATTGAGATAAAGTGCAGTGCATAATAACCATAACTCTATCTAAAGTAATTACAGAGTTATTGCCCTTTATTACTTTTCCATTGCTTTCTTTTGTCCGGACCATAACTTGAAGACTAATTGTTGGAATTCATTATAACTTCATACAATTGTCCAGCACATTGAGAGGAAGTGCAGTGCACAAGAACCATAACTCCATTTTGACTTATTACAGAGTTACTGCCCTTTGTTTCTTTTCCTTGTCCAGAGCATAACTTGAAAACTACTGGTTGGAATTAAAAACAACTTCATACAATGGTCAAGCACAATAAGGGGAAGTGCAGTGCACAAGAACCATAACTCCATCTTGACTAATTACAGAGTTATTGCCCTTTGTTACTTTTCCATTGCTTTCTTTTGTCCGGACCATAACTTGAAGACTTATTGTTGGAATTAAATATAACTACATACAATGGTCAAGCACATTGAGAGGAAGTGCAGTGCATAAGAACCATAACTCCATCTTGACTAATTACAGAGTTACTGCCCTTTGTTACTTTTCCTTGTCCAGAGCATGACTTGAAAACTACTGGTTGGAATTCAAAACAACTTCATACAATGGTCAAGCACAATAAGGGGAAGTGCAGTGCACAAGAACCATAACTCCATCTTGACTAATTACAGAGTTATTGCCCTTTGTTACTTTTCCTTGTCCAGAGCATAAATTGAAAACTACTGTTTGGAATTCAGTGCAACTTCATACAGTTGTCAAGGACATTCAAAGGAAGTGCAGTGCACAAGAGCCATAACTCCATTTTGACAAAATACAGAGTAACTGCCCTTTGATACTTTTCCTTGTCCGGAGCATAACTTAAAACATACTGGTTGGGAATTCAAAACAATTTCATACAATGGTCAAGCACAATAAGAGGAAGTGCAGTGCACAAGAACTATAACTCTATCTTCAGTATTTATAGAGTTATTGCCCTTTGTTCTTTTTCTTTGTTTTTCTGGACTTATTACAGAGTAATTCAATTAAACTTCATCAATGGCCAACCACATTGAAAGGAAATGCAACATACATGAACCACAATTATCTTTAATTGCCAACAACCATAACTCTATGTTTCAATTCTTTTACAAGGTATTCTGTTACTAGTAACATCCTCATTTCCGAAGCAGACTTGTGGGGGTATTAATCACATTAAGTGATAGTTCTAGTTTAATTTGCTTTGAAAAGGAAAAAAATGATAATTACAAATGTATAATCTATTCTTTGTAGAAATGTTCGATTTTCGGAAAATGTTCAAAACTATTAAAGCAGCAAGCCTCCAGATTCATGCTAACTTTCATAAAAGTTTTGAAAATGTATTTGAATGTGTAATATGTGAAATAACAAAAAAAAGGAAGCAATTTACACATTATCAATGGTACTTACAAACCACGTAAATTACCAAAAAAAGGTCAAAATATGCATAAATAGCCTTAACTGTGTTAGTAACACAGCAGAAATATACTGGTAAATACTGAAAAATCAGTCATTAATCGCACATAATATGAAAATATTACTTGCATCTTGAAACTTTTTACGTTTCCTTACATCTAAGTACATTTTTCTCAAGTTTGATTTTATTGACATATTTTGACATGTCTGGAGGCATGTAGCTTTATTAAATATTAAGGGTGTAATGGTTTACCGGTATATCAATATATTACAAAATGAAAAAATAAATTTTGTAACGCGGTGTAATTTTTGGAAAACCGGTATTTTATAAAAATCATAATTTTCAATTAATTGCCTTCTAATTTTGTACAAATTTCGCATGAAATCTTTAATTGGCGCCATTTTATTGGCGCCAATGTAAGATTAAAATATCTGACAACTAGTACACTTAAAAGTAAATAAGCGGCCGCATAATTAACAAAAGCGTCCCAGATGTGAAATGTCACACGCGACTAGTTTTGTTTATCAAATAGTGTGACACTTTGCTTTCTATTTAGTCCTTACATTTTAAGGACGTTTTTGGGAGTTTTCATATGGACATAATTATAGGCAAAATTAAAACTGTTCAATAGAATTTCTTTAAACTTGGCATGTTGTTAGAATATGATAACAGAAACATTTTAAGCGAAAAAAAATTTGGGGTCACCGTTCTCGGTTTTGAGTTATCTGCCCCTGAATCAGACTTTTCTACTTATTTGAGGTCATTTCAAGGGCAGATAACTTATACATACTTAAATGAATTCTTGTTTTTACTTCTGGATTATGTTTTTCTTTTTATTGTTGAGTACAATACATAATAACATGCAATTCCTTACAGCGTTTCTGTTAATTTTTTCAATGAAAATAAAGGTACTTTAAATTCTTATAAAAGGCCATTTTTTAAGAAAAAATACACAGGTTAAAAGAAGAAGTGGAAAAAAAAACTATCCACTCTAAATTCCTTCTTGAAATTTTGCATATCAACTAAAACGAAGGTAAGGAAAAAAAATTGAATTGTTTCCTTTCATTGTAAATTATCTGCCCTTAAATTTAACAAAAAAGTCCAATTCAGGGGCAGTTAACTCGAAAATGAGAACGGTGACCCCAATTTATTTTTCGTTTAAAATGTTTCTGTTTACAGTTTTAATTTTGCCTATATGTCTATATGAAAACTCCCGAAAACGTCCTTAAGTTTCTACTTAGAATATATACATATAATAATTATATTTAATGTTACTCCATCTTTACATCAAAACATATACACGACAACACGTATTGCAATATATTGCAATATGCTTCCGCAAAATGGCAATATATTGCAATTCGGTTTTTGCCGTATTGTTACACCCCTAATAAATATATCAATACTTCACTCTTAAGTAGTCATGTCAAGATTATTTAATATATCTGTTTCTTATATCATATTACATACATTTTAATTTATTTAGGTCTTAAATCAGCCATAGTATAGATATAAAGAATTTGATGCCATATGAATTTGTAAGGAAAATGATTATAGAAAAATGTAAGGCTGTATAATACAAACTTGAATTTTTTATTGCTTGAATATACCCGGTACATAAGGAATAAACTGCCAGATGTCCATCATGTCATGTACATTGATGTTATATCAATGAAGTTTTATTTATTGTATCTAGGGGAGACAATTATTATTACCCAGGCCATTTTACTAAATAAATCTATATTTAGTAATCTCCCTTTAAAAATGGCAAAGTGAAGAGTAGAATATGTATTTATATTTATGAAAAAAAACAACAACAGATGAGACTTAAAAATAGTGTAGTTCTAATGTGATATAATTAAAATAACATTATATAATTATATATATAGGTGGTATGTAAGAACAAGCGTGAAGCCAAACAGAAAGCAGCTCAGTCCATGTTACAACAGTTACACCCTCTCCTCAAAAACTGGGCCTCAATACTGCGTTTATATAGTAAAAATACAGAGGTCGGATTTGAAGAACAGGTAAATTAGCAAGTAAATTTTATATTGTTGATGTGGACATTACTGTTACTTGGATGTGAACATTACTGAAGAAAATTAATTACTTGACAATTTGTTAGCTAAAAGGGACATTGGATTAGTAAACTAGAATTTCACAGTGAAATTATAAAATATTATTTTTACTGTCCACAATTGAAATCAATTTAATAAATATTATATTGTTAACTATAACAGAAAGATGAATTTCCTGAACAAATTATCCAGCAAGAGAAGAAAAAGAATTTTGAAATCCTCGGACAATTAAAGGGTGCTATGAGAAAAGTTAGAGAACAACGGGTAAGTGTGCATGTACATTTTGTTGTAAACAAGGAGAAAAACATAACATGACGTGTTATTGTTAAGAACCCTATATGTGTTTATTGTTAAGCTACGGACACTTATAGTAACACCAAGATTATAATCATGTAATGATGCTAGGGGATTTTAAGCTATATTCAACAATTCTTAATTGTACAAGTTATGGATGTTTTTTTTTCTATTGTATCATGGTGTTGAAGAACCTATGCTTGTGTTCATGCAGACCTGTGTTTCATAGAAAGTCCTAGGACTTAAGACCAACATTCAGACTGTTAAAGGACTGTTTCAGTAAAGATTTTAAGATCCTAAGTTAAATACAAACTTTAATTGAATTTTGTAAGAAAGGTTTAAAAATACAATAGCATGCCTTTCAACTTCCAATATGTTTATGTTCTTCTGCATTGCTGTACAATATTAGATGGTCAAAAGATAGGAGTCATTACCTAGGATATTTCTTTGAAGTACAAAATTGTCTCTGGTGTGGTCTTCAGACTGAGGACTTTCTATGAAAATAAAACACAAAATGTAGAATGTTGGAGATAGACTTCTTAATTCCTTGATATGTTGTCTGACAATGTTATTAATAAATATCAAACAGGCTGTCACCAGATCAGTTTATGAGGTTCTGTTGAGTATCAGCTTAACAGTTTTCTGGTGGCAGATTGTACATAAATTATTAACACCATTGTATTAAAACTTTTTAACACCAGTTTGATATGAAAGAAGTTTGTCAGTTTCACTTTCAAGAGGAGTTTATGTTAAATCTGAACATGCATGAAAAACCTAATGCTCATGTTTTTGTTAGATATATTACACTAGAAGTCCTTTAAGAGTCTTCAAACCTTACATGTATTATTTTCAATTTTGAAAACAGGTAATTCTGCGAGACTTGTCTATAAAAAAAAACAAAATTATCACTATTAATTCCTTGTAATCGATTTATATTTTCAGAGAAACTTTGTAGATGGTAGCCAGGTGTCCAGCTCTGGCCAGACTCCGGCAACATTAGATTTATGATGAAGGCCAGAGTATTAGTCATTAATTAGTCAATTAGTCCATTCCATATGATGGCCATACTTTATTTAATTGTTGAATATCCATTGTGTCATTCCACTGTGTTTTGGAGAAAATATTGTTTGTTCCAGAATGGTTATTTGAAAAAAATATTGGCCCTGGACAATAAACATTTGATATATTTATACAATATATTTATACAGACAGTGCCATTTGTCTAGGATTGTCAAACAATGTCCTGAATCTAATATTGAGAACATAACAGTTTCATATGTCAGTCTCAAAACTTTTCTGTACAGAAAACATCAAAAACTTGAGATTAAAGACTCGTACCATTATGGATTCTTAGATCGTTGAAGAAAAAGCTATTATGCTTTTATGATCGAGACGGCGTATATCCTAGTCTCCTTCAAAAACTTTAATCTAGCCAATTATACAAACATTTTAGAAATTATCTACATGAAACTTAGAATACTCGCTTATGAAAAGGTGCAGTTGTTTAAACAAGGGGCATAAATCTAAAAGCTATAATTTGGAGTTATACCCCTTTTTGACATCAAATTTTTGTCAAAATTGGTTATTGATAGTCATTGCCTGGACAGTGTAAACACCACTGCTGCTCTTGATTTTTGTGGGAATTCATGTTTTTATGTTGCTGGTTGTGAAATACAAAAGAATCTATCCACAAAATGTTCATGTTTCACTTGCTACATTATAGTCATACATTTTAAATAAAATAGAAATCTCATTTGACATGTTATGTATATACATATATGAATATGGTCAAACCATTATATGAATGAGTATTTATGTTTGAATGGGTTTATTTTGAAATGGGTGATATGTTGAATGGGGAAATGGACAGCATGTTCTTTGGTGAAATTGTTGTAACTTAGTTACTGAATTTGTTTTACACATTTATATATACAAGTATTTAAGTGATAGTTCTGACAGAGCTTTTAGCACGATAGGACCAAAATTGTGGAATGAACTACCTATTAATATGAGAAAATGTGAATCTGTTGAAATTTTCAAAAGACAACTGAAATCATTTTACTTCAAGGACTTTTTTGCACTTTTTTAAGTGACGCTGAAGGCATTGTCTGTTCCTAATTGTTTTGTGCATGTTTGTCTATTTCTAGTGTTTTTATTATTTTCAATGTATAATAATATAATAAAGTCTAGCCCATGTGTTATCATGTGCAGGGGTGCAGGGGTGTAGATTGTTACATGTTGGTGGGGATTGACCCAATCACTGTGACCGTCGCACTGCTGGGAGTATTGTGTATGGTAGCACTGGGAGTAGCACATATAAGGTATATAGCTGTACAACGCCATTGAATATGTATTCTATATGTAGAAATAGGCGTTAAATCAAGTTTTCAAGTTTCAAGTTTGTCAGTTACAATTGTATGTGTAATTTTTTTTTGACAAATTTTATTGTTAACAGTATATATTGTAGAGATTTATCATAACCTCATGAGTTTTACTGAAATATTTGAGTCCTTGTAATGCAAAAATTTTTGTGATGGTCTTATCTGTTGTGAACTGAGGTAATGTTGAATCAAAAACATTAAAATTGCGCAGTGAACAGTGTAGAGTGTTTCAGCCAGATAACTCTGGTGTTCTGTTTGGCCTAGCTTTGTTCTGATAGCATTAATGTGCTGTAATATAATAGTAAGAAATTTATCATTACCTGCCACAACAGTCTTATGATTAAAAAGATAATAATGTAGACTATATTATATACATGTACATTATTGTAAAAGAAGTCCTATAATGTTGTGTAGGTTATCGTTCTGGCAATCTCCTTGATTAGACCCCTATGTACATTTCAGGAGTAAAACTTGTATATTAAAAAGTAAAGAAAACGAAATGAATCATATATATATACTCTTGGTTACGACACCAGTGTCTATTCCTGGATATAGCCTTTGTTTTTATATCTTTTATAGAATTGAAACTTTCCTGACATGTTGCAGTCATCAATAAACTTAAAGCAGGGATATAAATAGATTAAAGTGGGTTTGGGTTGTTGTTGTTTTTTGTGTTTTTTTCTTTTATAAAACTTGAAGCAAAATGGCCATATTGCGCAAATAGAAAGCTATGGAAAGCTCTTATTTTATAATAATTACTGAAAATTTACAAGATTTTTTTTGTTGTTGCATAACCCCCTTCGTTTAAGATATAGAAAGACATGCCTTATATGTAATATATATGAATAGCAGTCACTGAACCTCCAATGGTAAACAGTGTCACTGTTTGAATGTTTCATAAGTCTTTATGTTTGATATTGTACTGTGATGAGTTTGGGATATTTTCACCTGTTGGTAAAGGTAAAGCTCAATGTTTTATTTTGTGGGCAAAGTAAAAATGGCTTGTTGTTGTTATATCAGTACATTTATAATTTATATATTGATGTTTCTTTATGTATTTATTCATGATGAGGGCGTGATACCTGGCAAATAGGTGAAAATTATTGAATAATTGTTAGAATATATGAATTTGTAGAGAATGTATTGATATAAATTGAGGGAAAACAAAATGTGCTAATATTTATGAATAAATTTTTTTACCTATGATTAATTTGATTGTTGTTAATTTTATCAACACAGTGTGTATTCAGACATCCCATAGTGTATGCATCAAGTTTAAAAAATATAATTCCATTAACTGCATGCATATACTATTGGCAGTTTGAACCTGGGACAGACGGTATCTTCTGTCCCAGTTGGGACAGATGGTATCTTCTGTCCCAGTTTGAACATGGGGAGGCTTTTTAGGTCCACGTTTATAAAGATAAGTAAAATATGTCCCTTGGGTCAAAATTATACCCTCAACGACTAATTTATGAGAAAAAAACATCTAATTAATCTTGTGTAAAACTTCCATGTCCAAGAGCTTAGATATTTGGCATGTAGCATTGCAATTACCTATGGACTATTATTAAAGTTAGATTAATCATGACCTGTGGGTAAAAATGACCCATCCTATTGTCCTATTGTCTGATTTTAATAGAAACTAAAATCATCCGCTCACGGACTGCATTGCCCAAACCTTAGATATGTAGCATAAATCCCCCCCCCCCCCCCTATAAAAGGTTCGAGTATATAAATAATTCCCCTGAGGTCAAAGTTGGGCACACATCTGGTGGTCACAATCGTATTACTAAGACTGTGTAGGAAAACACATTTGAATCTTCATGTGTGAAACTACATTTGTATATGGGCTAAAACTAAGTAACTTGGTGTGAGGTATTGCCTAGTGGACCTCTTAATGAATTATGTCGCCAGTGTCAAAATTGGTCCACTTGGTTTACATGTGATTATTATAGTCATAGGAAAGCCTTTATATCTTGTGTGTAACGTGAGTAAGGTATTTCGCTTGTTGCTTTACCTTACGGACAACTGGTAGATGAGTCAATGTCTCTAATAATTATCTAAAATGACTGCCCCAATGTGTAGCCTAATAACGTACTTCTGCACATTTCCCAGCACTATTTTAGCCTTAATCCGGTTATTGTTATGATATTCCCGGAATCCCACATTCGTTACCTGTGGTTATTCATAATACGCACAGTTCTCATGAAAACAGGGGCTGCACAATAATTTATGTGAAAATTTTAAGATTTTTAAGTTTCTCCAAAACCATAGAAGAAAAGGGGTGAAACTTCAGAAAGTTATTTGAAAGCAGGTCCATGTCTAAGGCTTATAACACTAACATTGATTTTGACCGAGTTATGGCCTTTTATCAAGGCTCTTGTTTAACTACCGAACACTGAGAATAGTCGAGCACATTGTCCTACCGGCAGCTCTTGTTAATACAAAATTATCCAAAATTGGAAAGTGTGGCAAGCCTTTTCGCTTCAATCGGGCAAAGTAAAGAAAAAAATCGATATTTAAGTTAATTCTTAGTCTCATTATTATCCTTTGCAGATTTTTCCATTAACCTATGTAAGATTTCAAACTGTATGTTTTTTATCTCTAATTGCAGAGCAGAAAATGATAAATATTCACAAATCAAGGTTTGCAATGTCTTATTTCTGCTTTTCGCGTAGACTTTGTTTTGAGTAATTGTGCAAAATTTATAGAACTGATGATGAGTATCTTCCTTACTTGGGGCGTCCGTGGCCAAGTGGTTAAGGTCGTAAACTTCAAACCACTTGCCCCTCACCTCTGTGGGTTCGAATCCCGACAGGGACTTTGGATTCTTTCATGTGAGGAAGCTTTCCAGCTAGCTAACGAAACGTCGGTGGTTCTACTCAGGTACCTGTTCGTGCCGGAAATAATGCACGGAAGGGCACCTGAGGTCTTCCTTCACCAGTAAAGCTGGAACGTCGCGATATGACCTATACTGTGTCGATGTGACGTAAAACCCAAAACAAACAAACAAATCTTCCTTACATAAAGGAGCTTCACTGAGGTCAAAATGCATAAAGTACATAAAATTTGAAATTTTTACATAGATCATCAAGTGAAGCATTTCAAAGGATAACTTAGAAATTCAGAACTATATTGAAAACCGGTAATTGGTACAATTTGAAGCCCGAAATAGGAGAAAAGCATTTCATTTTAGGTCGTATAATAAAAAATATTATCCTGGAAAAAAAACTGCGAGGGAATGATCTACACACAAGTTAATGGTTTAAGCTTACATTAAACTGTACATAATCTGTGTAGACCCTTTAAAAAATCAGTCATTAATTGCTCATAATATGTAAAATATTAATTAAATCTTGAAACTCTTTACTTTTCCTTACATCTTAGTACATTTTTCTCAAGTTTGATTTTATTGAAATATTTTGACTCATCTGAACGCATGTAGCACGAAAGTCTAATGGAATTCCATAAAAATTGAATTTTGACCTGACCAACGATGAAATGTTAAACAAACAGTAAAAATAAGGTTTATCGTACTTATGTATAAGTTAATCGCACTTGAAATTGGAATCAAATTCAAGGACAGGTAACACTAAAACGAGGTCGGTGTCGGCTCGGGATCGTTTTCTGACTTGTTCACGTATTCCTATGCCATATATACTGCCACAAATGACGCGCGTGTGACACTAACTAACTAAGCTAATAAGTAATAGTTATTTTCTCCACAAATGGCAATAAAACACTAACAATCATTTTGATTATTTGGTATAAATGTCAACAATAATTGTCACAATTAACCAACTAGTTAACAAGCTATAATAGACCCAGCAAACAAAAGACGTTGTACCAACGTTGTACTGACGTTAGACCCTGACGTTGGATAAACGTTGGCAGAAGGTTGGATTTGAAAGTTTTTTAGACGTCAGAATCCGACGTCTATACAACGTCATAAAATGACGCTTATCCAACCTTATCTGACCATAATCCAACCTTTTCTGACCATTATCTGACCATAATCCAACCTTTTCTGACCATTATCTGACCATAATCCAACCTTATCTGACCATGATTTAACCTCATTTCAAACTTTTTGGAATATGATTTTTTCATTTTAAGCTCATTAGTAGGGTAAACAAATAAGCATTCTTATAATTTTAACAATTTATTTGCAATACGAATCACATGTACAAAACAATAAATGTGGTACTATAACAAATGTAACATTAACATAATGTATTTTTGAACTATTAAACTTGACAGTATGTACGTAAATAACGCTTCATGTATTAAATAATCATGTTTTTAGATATACAAAATTCTTCATAAACATTAACACTGACATTTTTTAATGGTTAACATTCATGCATGTTTTTCTTTTATCACCAAGGCTTATTTCCGACTGAACCGATCACCCTGAGGTTGGGATTTTCAATCATCTATCCAACTCACTGATTGTATATTTTTCTTTGTACTTTTTGGTTCTGAATGTTAAATGGAACAATATTGTGAATAATTTGATATTACTACAAATCAATGTTTCATATATCTCAATTAGCATTTCTTCTTCAC